AGGTTTTGCAAGCAGATTTGCGACCCACTAGCATGAGCGTAAGTGTTAATACATGCTTTTTCTCTCTCTGCGTCCCACTTTGTTTCTTGTACAGTAGCAACCGGACTTGGGCCGCACAAAGAGAAAAAGGTATGAGTTGACATTCATGTTCAAGCTGCAGGGTCGCAAATCTGCTTGCACAACATGTGCGGGCAGCAGCGAAATTCTCCGATGGCTGACCCCATTTTTGGGTCCAAATATGGACCCCAAAATGGGGTCCAGAATTGGATCACATTTTCATTCCTTCTTTTAGGGCTTTGCTTGGGCCCCGTTTTGGGATCCAGATTTGGACCCAAAAGTGGGGTCAGCCATCGGAGAATTTTGCTGCTGCCCGCAGAGGTTTTGCAAGCAGATTTGCGACGCACTAGCATGAGCGTAAGTGTTAATACATGCTTTTTCTCTCTCTGCGTCCCACTTTGTTTCTTGTACAGTATAGATCCTGCATTGGAATCCTGCTGTACTTGTCTCCAGTTTTGCCACACTCCCAGTACGTGATCAGATATCTCTCAACTTGTGCATCAAAACCCACACTGAAAGCGATGGTTGTCTTGAAGCATTTGGTTGGCTGCATGGCAGGTCATTCTGACCAATACGTCTCTTTGAAATGGAAGGGCATGCATTCAGGCCTACTCCGTGACTATGAATGTGAGGATGCCTGTTCTTGAAATCTTCAGTGACGCAGACTGGGCTGCAGACAGAAACATCAGAAGGTCGGTGTCTGGAAGCGCAATTTTCTACGGAGGATGCTTGGTGTACTCATCATCAAGGACTCAAAAGATTGTGTCACTGTCGAGCGCAGAATCGGAAACATATGCTGCCGCTTCAGCTGTCATGGATGCCATCCTCATTAGGACCATTCTTTGTTGGGTACTTCAAGTACGCATTCTCATGTATTTGTACTTGGGCTCGTCGGCTGCACGTGGAGTTTTTTAGGTGTCCTCGTGGCTCAGTTGGTAGGCGGACAGACTGCCGGTGGTAGTTCGATTCCCCGCTGGTCCGCCAGGAAGCCTCAAGTGGTGACCCGCCGAAAGGCAAAGGGCGCCGGCCAAAAAAAAAATCAGCTGCACGTGGAGTTTTGCCACGTCGAGGTGTTGGACGTTTGAGACATTTGAGTTGCAGGGCACTCTGGCTCCAGAATCTTGTGGTTGAAAAGATGTTTGCAAGTTAAAACAGTTTTGGGAACAATCAATCCAGCCGATGTATCAACCAAACGACTCTCAACTGTCAGGTTGGAATCACTGATGTACCTCTTTGGACTTTGGAGCACAGCGCAATTAAAATCAGCTTGTAGGATCAGATGACCCAGGCAGAATTTTCAGGCATTTTCCACAGCAAGCAGCGTCCAACTCAAGTCGCAATTCACAACTTCGAGTTTTGATAGGCGCCTTGAGCCTGCTCACACTCCAACTCCAATGGTGTGAAGCCATGTCAACCGACTTGACGGACATTCCGTATATGTTCACTGCAACATGGATTGGACTTCTTGGTGCTTACTTGCTCTGGATGTCACAGTGCTCAAAGGTCAACAAGGGCACACCAGATAGCCCAAGTTTTGGTTTCGAAGATGGATCCGATGACGCTGACACAGCGAGCGTCACATCCAATGCCACAGAGGACACAGATGAATACCCACCATTCTCACCTGAGGGAATGATTAGCTGGATGTTTGAGCGATGCAATCGACGTTTTGAAAACGCAATGGAAGCTGGAGACACCACACGTGCTCAAGCTTACAACCAACGTCGAGCTCTTCTGGCAGATTTCATGAACTTCACCACTGCTGCAAATGACGATGAGAGGGATCAAACCAATGACATGCTGCATACAAGTGATGACATCAGCAGCAACGAAAACAGTCCCACAAAGGACGTGGATGAAGGAGAAGACAATCGGTCTATTAGGATGAGAGCGCGCCATCTGGCCATGATCAACCTGCAGGGCGCGATGGCCATGCAGTTGCAAGGATGTGGAACTACATCCACTTCATCAGCAGAAGATGGACTATGCTTTTGATTGGATACTCATGGTACATGATGCGCTCTGGCAAGAACTTCAACAATGTTCAAGTTCCATTGTTTCCTGACACGCTGAATGTCTTTGCAGAACCTCCAGTGACCCATGAAAGTATGAGTGTTGAAGGTTTGATCACTTGGACTTTGGTCAGGGTTCGTGGAAGACTTCGACGCGCAAGTGAACCTGGAAACATTGGAGCTGGCATGATGTATCAACAAATACAGCGATGGCTCTGAAGAATCAGATGGAGATGAATCAATGAGAGAGGAAGCTGCCTCCCAGCGTCTGGCGCGCTATAGCTCCTCCGAGCAGTGTGAGGTGAGTGACCCAGACGAATGGGCAGTGATCCATTATGGAAGAGCAACCGAGGAAGCAACAGACAATGAGAGTACGGACGGAGCACAAGAATTTTGAAGAATTCCAAAGCCAATGGAATCAATTTTTCAGTTGGCACCACACGATGCTGTCATTAGGACAAGGCACCAGAATCTTGTCAGTGGCAGCTGTGCCAAACCAGTGTCACCGCACAGTACCCCAGTAGAAGCAAGAACTTGGACTCAGACCAGTCCTAAGGGGTGAATGGACAGCAAGGTATCAAAGATACCAGCTGAGGTGGGGTGAAAACATTTAACTCACTCTGCACCAGCTGTCTTGTGATGTACATTTGTCAGTTCATTGCAGTAACATGTCAGTTACAGCATGTTCACCTGAGAGCTTATCGTTGAGGCGCTTTCGGTTCCAAAAAGAGTTGCAAAAACACATTACATGAAGAACGACTTTGGAGCGGTGTGGACTTAAGAAAATTTATAGGACATTATTTCAGAAGGTTGCTTTGGTACCAGTAGTACCGCACCAGGCGGTGGCGGAAGTTTCAGAATAGGAAACCTATAGGAGACGTTGGTTGTTGTGAATCACGGATGGCAGAGCGAATCCACTGATTGACCGAAAGGTGGTTGGAGTTGTGTTTGCTGGAGTGGTTGCAATGGTTGCAGTGGTCACCTCACCCACAACTGCTGGATGTAGTGTGATGTAGTGCAACTGTAGTTGTAGTTGTAGCGTAGTGGAGTTGTAGTTGTGGTGTAATGTAATTAGTGTAGTGTAGTTGCAGTCATATAGTTGTAGCTGTAGTTGTTTTGTAGTTGTAGTTGTAGTTGTTGTAGTTGTAGTTGTTGTTGTTGTTGTTGTAGTTGTAGCTGTAGTTGTTGTGTGGTTGTAGTTGTTGTGTAGTGTAGTTGTAGTAGTAGTAGTAGTTTTTGTTGTAGTTGTTGTAGTGGTAGTTGTAGTTGTAGTAGTAGTAGTAGTTGTTGTTGTTGTTGCTGTTGCTGTTGTTGTTGTTGTTGTTGCTGTTGTTGTTGTTGTAGTTGTTGTAGTTGTAGTTGTTGTAGTTGTAGTTGTTGTGTAGTTGTTGTAGTTGTAGTTGTTGTAGTTGTAGTTGTTGTGGTTGGTGTTGTTGTTGTTCTTGTTGTTGTTGTTGTTGTTGTTGCTGCTGTTGCTGTTGCTGTTGTCGTCGAAGTTAGGGTAGTTAAGTTAGTGAAGTTAGTTAAGTTAGTCAAGTTAGTTAAGTTAATCAGTGTCTACTTTTTCGACATCTTCACGTCAAAAAAGGCTCAAAACCCCCAGTTTTTTACACTTTTGACTTCGAAATGTGCTTCGCGCCACAACGGCGTGCACTTTTTCGACATCTCAACTTCCAAAAGTGGTCCGAGACCTGGTGTGTTTTGTACATTTTGACTTGGAAATGTGCTTCGCGCCACAACGGCGTGCACTTTTTCGACATCTCAACTTCCAAAAGTGGTCCGAACCTGGTGTGTTTTGTACATTTTGACTTGGAAATGTGCTTCGCGCCACAACGGCGTGCACTTTTTCACATCTTCCAAAAGTGGTCCGAACGTGGTGTGTTTTGTACATTTTGACTTGGAAATGTGCTTCGCGCCACAACGGCGTGCAATTTTTCATCTCTCATCTGGCCAGCTGGCTCCGCACCCGCCGCTTTAGCGAGCCTACTTTTCGACCCTCCGGAGCCACAAATCATTGGAAAAACACAGTGCTTCGCGACTTTCCTACCTTTTCGCGCATCTGCATCTTCTTTCTTCTGATCTTTTCTCTTCTGACTCTTCTCACCTCTGCTTTTCAACTGTCCATATTGTCGGAAGTTTCACTTCTAAACTTCCTTCGATTATTTTTTTTATGTAATGTACATATATATATATATAAATATATATATGTATTGATGTACGTATTTTGTTTGTGCGTCGTTATTATTTGCAGTTTGTATGCGATATTAAGTTTATGTAATGAATGTCCACCTCGAACGATGTTCTTCCCTTGTTCCCCTAAATTGTAGTTTTGATGGCCGTTGGGACGGATGGAAACCGAAAAGTATTGAAGCATCAAACAAATCCATTTGTATATTCGACTGATGCCCAAAAAGGGGTGGGTCAAGTGATTGGTTTATGACCGGGGATGGCCCGCATTAGACAAAAATGTACTGAGATTCTTGAACACGTTTTTTTTTTCTCTCTCTCTCTTCGTTCATGCCTGCATTGGTATTTCATTTTTCCGGTTTGTAACTTTCGACTTTTGACTGACGCCGCAAAAACAAACGGAACGGCGTAGTACAGCTTAGATGGCTGCCCCATGCCATATTGGCTCAGCTGGGATTGGTTCCGTCAAGTAAGCGCTTCTTTTTTGCTTTCCAGTGCGGGCAATTTGGACCCAATGGCAGGCCCGGGGTGATGCTCACAAGCTGATGTTACCATCCGAGGAAAGTGTTTTCGAAAAACAGTGGAAATGCCCGAAATTGGAAACCCTTAAAACCTAGATAGTGAACAATATTAATCCATTTTTGCGCGCTATTGAAAGATTCGAAAATATCCGAACATCTGGGCCATCGGCAGGTCCCATGGTCACCCGACATCGGTCCAGCACCAGGCGTTCCGACTGAACCCATGCAGACTGATGCTGTCCCTGTGACCAGCGCTGTATCTGGGACCGCACTGAAACTCAAAAACTCTGAACCAACACATGTGCGGTGATGGTCCAAACGAGGTTGTTCCCCGAATTGCCCATATTTCATCAGCAATCGTAAACTGTGTGATGGTAATCCTTAATCAAAACAATTATTATACACATCAAAAAAATATATCAGTCTGTCAGACTGTCATGTCCAATTATCGTGGACGTCCAACAATTGCCCACACTGTCAATGTTTGAATTGCTTACCGTTGGGATTATTTGTGGTTTGGGTTCGCCTTCAGTATCATGTTTCAGACTAGTCACAAGTATTTCCAAATGCATGGTGATGATGGGAACTCCAGCGAAACTAGATATTTTTTTAAAATCGTAGTTCAAGTGGTTGCAAAAAGAATGACATCATTTTTCTGATCCTCACAATGAAAAAACACGGTTTTGCACCAAAAATTGCGTTTTTGAGGGTGAACATAAACATTATATGGACTAATTGTTAATTTGAAGGGTGATGACTCATTATCCTGACATCGTATAGCGGTTTCCGGGTTGCTGAGGTGTTTGTGACAAGCGGTGGATCCACAAATCCTCGGACAATTCATCCAATGCTTAATTGAGCAATGCCCACCTGCCAGGAATGTGAGAATTCCCGTGAACCAATGGGTAATTCGGATCAATCGGTTCTCTATCGGACACATATGACACATATGACACCTCTGGCTTCGCAGTCGGATCTTGGTCAACTGCGAGGTTCAGATGGGCAGTGGCATTCCCATCAGCACCACTTATCCTATGGAAGGTACCTCGATCCAGCTGGGATTCATGGGATTTGGGATCGCCAACTCGAAGGATTTTTTTCCATAAAATGGAGGACATTCCACGAAAAATGGTGATGTAATGTGCGATAAAAAACAATACGATCATGTTTTTCGGCTTATTACTTTTCTGTTTCAGAAAAGGTACATGATCGCAAATCCAGTCATAGGCGAGGTAATCCGCTGCTCAGAAACTTGACATGCACTGTAAAGAGCCTATGATGTCCAGGGTGATGACTAGGGTCTCATGATGTTTATTGCCTATTGATTGTTGATGATCATGGTCCATAGAAGGAAATTTAAGGTTTTGATCCCCATTTTATAGTTTCCCATTTCTATTGAACTTATTTGCATTGGGAGTGATGGTAGGGCAATGTTTCGTTGGTGACGGTAGTTGTCACATGAACTGAGGTGCGCCTCAGGTGGTCTACACCTCATCGCCATATGTGATGCCGGGTGCTGCCTCCATCAGTGCCATGCCTATGACCAGCTACACCACCGGGATGCCGATGACCTATAGCACCTGGGATGCAAGAGACGGTCTGTGAAGCAACTTGGGCCTAAACTCAACGCAGAGCAATCTACTTGGTCAGCTAGGGCGCTTGAAACTGCAGCCTTACAGTAGATCACACAACCATTCCAAGCAAAAATATCAACAAATTCTCCTCATACTCATAGTAGGTAGCTTAAACTCGCATCACAGCTTTCTGTACCTTGAAATCTTGTCCTTCTTTTGGCAGGCCTGGGGACTTCTTAATTTTCTTGAGGAATAGGTCTCTGATGGTCTTTCGAATTGATATCATCAAGGTCACTTTGGTTCCAAGAAAGGATCGACATTGTGTTGGGAGTGGACCGAAACCAAAGTTTGCTCCAGCCGAAAACTAAGTTTGAACCCCAAAGCATCCAGCCTTTCCTTTTCCAAATAGCCAAAGGTTCAATGCTGTTGTTTTTTAGGTTGTTTGAAGTCTGGATTGGCTAATTCATATGTTTGGAACCAAGGCAAAAGTTCGGGTGTCCTATCATTAAAAAAATGAAGTGAATCATTGCTGCTTGTTTGCAGAAAACATTCCAATCCTTGTTGTTTCTAAACTTCTACCATCAGCATCACAGAATTCCATTTTTTCTGAGATCTTTATTCACCAGAAATCCAGATATTGCTGTTGTCTTGAACGGAAATTTCCATCTTGCAACCACCAACCACCCCCTTGCTGCAGCCGTTGAGGCGGCTTGGACCACTCCCAGGGCAAATGGTTCGCCCCGGGCGAGGCTTTGCCGCCCGGATTCATCATCACGGCTCACCCAGAGGGTCACACAGCACCACAGGAGGGCCACATGATGTCCGACAAGGCGAGGCTCCGAGGGCAGGGCAGAGTGGTGATTTGAGTCCTGGAAGTCATGGGATGTTCTTCATTGGGGTATCACCGGTATCATCGCTGAATCAAGTCTCAGAATATCAGAAGAGTTGGATGGGCCGCTTGAATTTTCGGTTTGGACCTGGGGGGAAATCATATGTGTAACAGGCTGGATCTCAAAACCAAAGAATTACTGTGTGCATGTGCTTATGTGCATCTCAGCATGTTCTTTGTTCATGTCGATTTTGTCTTTATTTGTTTTCGAGAAAACTGTGGATGGACATGTCAGTTGTACTTGGTGTTCTCAAGACTCCTGTGGCTGATTTTTTTTAGCCACTCAGAGAAACGAGTGGCCGGTTTCATGGCAGTTTTTTTTTTTGCAGGCCCGTGAAAGCTTCGTGATCACCACGGGGATTGACACCAAGCTTGGCTCTGCCCCAAAGAGCAAGGTGGGCATCAGTCGCACCAAGGATCTGGCGGTATTTTTGCGTACCATTGAAACCATTGGTAAGAAAGTCACGGGTTTCATGGTAGTTGGATGTACGGCACTTGGATAAAAAATGGTAACGTTCACACCGATTGGAACAAATATGGAAAATTGCAGGATGAAAGAATTCGCCCCCTGTGAAAATCTGAGCAGGTTAGAACATCATGGTTTTAGAGACTTTTGCTTTCCAGTCGGTTTGAAGGATTGATTTCAAGCGAAGATTTACAACTCTGGTGAGCCACCAAATTTGAATGCGTGTGACAGAACTGGTTTTGCATGTTTTCTTTGCCCTGACCTTTTTGTGGGGCCCAGTCCAGTCTAAAAGAGGCGAGGTTTCATGACTACGTCAAGCGTTTGGACCCAGATTGGACAATTTGAGAAGGTCGATACCAAAGCCTATCCCTACAACGAGGAATGGCTGAGAGCCCACCACAAGGATATGTTAGGGGCAGACCTCAGTTGGTACATGTTCGTACTATCCACGATAAATGAGCAAACTCAGTAAACCTCAAGCAGTGGCTAGTTCCTGGTGCATGGCTTTTGTTGCACGTTGGGTACCCCTTAATCCACCGGTTAATCATCATTTTCCTACTCAAATTGCCATTTCGGGGGCACACCCCATTTCTGACACACCCGTGCGTAGCGTGGGACACGCACTTCGGTACATGTCAGGATTGGGTCAGCTTCAGCTTCTGGTTTCACCTTTGCACCTTTCGCATCCTTTCGCATCCTTTCGCGAGGTGAGCAAGAAGAGCAAGAAGAAGAAGTCCAGCGGCTGCTGCTAAGCATATCTGGCTGCCACCTGTATACGATCCAGTGAGAGGGGTGAAGTCCAGCGGCTGCTGCTGAGAGTGCCTTTGGACTGCGAAGGCAGGAGTTGCACTGCCTGAGTGACTCCTATCAACATGTCTTGTTGCCACAATATCAAACTGCAGAAACAACATGATTTGGTGTGGAACATGAAATGCTTCAAACACCCTTTCTGGAGTACAATGCTCCAGGGTTGTGTCTAGTTGGTGGTCTAGCCCTCCAGGTTCACTCTTGGACCCATAGCCTCCCGGGGCCGTATCATACAGTGGCACCCTCTCGATCAGGGCACCACAAGGTGTCAGGAATCGGGATGGCATCTCAGTCCGCCACTTTTTTGCGAAATGATCAGCGAAAATGATACCAGTTCTTTGATCCAGCTGCCACCAATCAATATCTGAAGGCCATCTCAAGTCATGATGCCACATGGTATCTTGACAAAATTTACAAGGGATTTGATCCACCCAGCTTGAAAATACAACAGTGTTCAGGGATTACAGCCACAAACTGGCCACAACCAACTAATTTTTAGGACGACCAACCAACTTCGTTGGGAAGTGACCAGCTGGATCTCTACCTGCGCCGATGAAACTGGGACTGCGCAAGAAGGAACAAGGCGTGCCCGTTGAAGCGGATGATGACGGGCGTCCGAAGGCCGAAGGGAATAGACATGGTGAAATTTCAGTTGAGTTGCCAGTTAAAATGCCATGCAGTTTTTCCCTTTGTGAATTTTCAACTGAATCCAAACAAGAACAAGAGGAACGATGCAAAACTCCAAAGAGGCAATGAACGTTTGGTCCAAATTCTGGGCTGCACCTTGTGGCTCAACAAGCGATTCCGTCAACTCAGTGTTTCTTTCTTGCTTTCATTGCTTTCCGGTGCGGCAATTCGGACCCAATGGCAGGTCCGACATGGGTGGGGATGGGTCAGTGTGAATATCTAATATCACTCATCCTTGCAGTGTTTTTCAATCCCTTTTGCACCCTTGGAAATGGTGTTCGAAAAAACAGTAGTGCTAGTGCCGGAAATTGGACGGCCTCAGATAATGGTTATGTTATATTATATTATATTATATCATATTATATTATATTATACTATATTATATTGTATTAAATTATATTACATAATGTAATATAATATAATATAATATAATATTATATAATATAATATTATATAATATAATATTATATATTATATATTATATTATTACATATATATATATATTCATCTCAAAGACAACCAAACATGTGGGTCCTGAAATTTTGACACAGAGCGAGTTCATTCTCCTGGTCACCCGACATGGGTATGACCAGTCATCACTAGGCGTTGCGACTGAGCCGATGCCAGTGACTGATGCTGTCCCTGTGACCAGCGCTGTATCTGGGGCTGCAGTGGCGTCAATGCCGTGAAACTTTGAATCAACACATGTGCGGGGATAATCCAAACATGGTGGTTCGCCAAATTTACCATATTTCATCAACGACAGTAACCTACAGTATGTGGTGGAAACATTGCTATGTACCAACCATAATTGGGATGTAACCTTTCACTAACTCAGCTATCACACGTCATATATCAGCATGTCACAGCATGTCCAACCATGGTGGATGTCCATAATTACCCGCATTGTCAATGTTTGAGTTGCAGAGGATTGGCATTATTTGTGATTTGGGTTCATTGTCATATCTCAAGCCGAGATACTAGTGCCAAGTTCGTACGAATACCACCCCTGGAAGGCAAGAGTCCCCCCCAATTACAAAACTAGGGTTTGTCATACATAAAAGAAACGACCAACCTGCCCGCCAATGGGTCGAGATTTCTCTTTTCAGTTTTCAGTGGCAACCTCCCTGCCAATGGGGTGAGATGGTGAGATTGGGCATGGGACCTCCCTTCAAATAAATTATTTTTCAACCATTAAAAAGCAATCAAAACCATGAACATAGTTACAGTTATATCCTGACTACCACAAAATCAGGATTTCTGAGCAGGGTGTTGTTTCATAGGGGGGGTTCGCACATGTTTATTTCCAGGGAGGGACCAACCCAAAGTAGTATTGCCAAACATTTTCTAGATTGTGGGTGCTGATTAATGCGGGCTGCTGATTACAGTAATATGAACTTAACATTATTATTTGGTATATAATCGAGCCTAGCAATGGAACATGGCCAATTCGTAGATTATTTCTATACCGACTCAAACTGTTTTTTTTATCACCCAGATTGCCAGAAGATGCGTGGTGTAGCCTTTTTTCAGGTACCATACTTCAAGTGGGTGCAAACACTGGCGTAATTTTTCTGATCCTCACTACAATTTTCAAGAATTAGCACTAAGTTTTGCGCTTTTGAGGGTGAAAGCAGTCATTCGATATATAAATTTATTTGAAACATGATAAGTGCATGCTCCAAACATTTAAAAGTGCAAGGAGATCATGGCTGTTGGCCGAGAAAACATGTCTATAGCGGTTTCCAGGTTGCTGAGGTCTGTGACAGGCCATGGATCCGCAAATCCTTGTTGGAAAGTTGGTCTAGGAAATGTTATTTGAACAATGCCCAAGAACCACCAGGCCTGATGTGGATTCTGTACAGATCATTTTGTACTTGAGATCCTGTCAGCCAATCAGTAAATTGGACGACACAAGGCTTTGCACACTGCTCAGTCAGATCCTGTCGGATCAGTTGCAGGTTCAGATGGGCAGTGGCATTCCCATCAGCACCACCTATCCCATGGAGACTGGTGCCTCAAGGGCATTGATCTGGCGGTCTGGATTTGAAGAACTTGACAAATTGGGATCCAAACGAACTTGACCAGGTACTTTTTTTCCCCAAAAAATGGGATATCCCATTTGATGGCGATTTTAAGGCCCAAATGATGCTAAGAACCATCAGATTTTTGAGTGCTTACCCTGCTTCTGAAAAGGTACACAGAATGGTTGCACAACCAGGTCTAGGCAAGGCAATCGTTCAGCAACTTGATGTGGTCTTCATCTTTATTGCCTATTGATTGTTGATGGTCATGGTCCATAAAAGAAATCTAGGGTTAAAATGTCCTCATTTTCATTTGCTGATGCATTTGGTAGTTTCCCATTTCTATTGAACTTCTTTATCTAAATATTGCATTGGGAGTGATGGTAGGGCAATGTTTCGTTGGTGACGGTAGTTGTCACATGAACTGAGGTGCGCCTCAGGTGGTCTACACCTCTTCACCATATGTGATGCCGCAGATGCCGGGTGCTGCCTCCATCAGTGCCATGCCTATGACCAGCTACACCACCGGGATGCCGATGACCTATAGCACCTGGGATGCAAGAGACGGTCTGTGAAGCAACTTGGGCATAAACTCAACGCAGAGGAATCTACTTGGTCAGCTAGGGCGCGTGAAACAGCCTGCAAGAAGGATCCGAGGACTTTCAGTAGATATCAGTAGATCATACAACTATTCGAGGCAACAAATCTCCTCATAGGAGGTAGTTTCCACTTGCATCACAGCTTTATGTACCTTGAAATGTTGTCCTGCTTCTGGCAGGCCTGGGGACTTCTTAAGTTTCCTGAGGAATAGGTCTGAAATTGCCATCATCAGGCTCACTTTGGCTCCAAGAAAGGAGTGACATTGTTTTGAGATTGGACCAAAGCCAAAGATTGCTCCAGCCGAAAACTAAGTTTGAACCCCGAGGCATTCAGTCTTTCCTTTGGAAATGAACGTTTGTCAATGCTGTTATATTAGGTTGGTCGAAGTCTGGATTGGCTCGTTCATGTGTTTGGAACCAATTCAAAAGTGCGGGTGTCCTATCACTTGAAATTGAAGTGAGGCATTGGTCATTGCTGCAATCTTTGTTGTTTCTAAACTTCTACCATCACAGAATTCCATTTTTTCTGAGATCTTTATTCACCAGAAATCCAGATATTACTGTTGTCTTGAACGGAAATTGCCATCTTGCAACCACCTACCACCCCCTTGCAGCCGTTGAGGCGGCTTGGACCACTCCCAGGGCAAATGGTTCGCCCCAGGCGAGGCTTTGCCGCCCGGATTCATCATCACGGCTCACCCAGAGGGTCACACAGCACCACAGGAGGGCCACATGATGTCCGACAAGGCGAGGCTCCGAGGGCAGGGCGGAGTGGTAAGTTTCGCATGGAAGTCATGGGATGTTCTTCATTGGGGTATCACCGGTATCGCGGTATGACCCACCTTGTGGTAATTCGATAGTGGTCAACTGGATGGGGATAGCGGTATGTATGTGCTTATGTGCAGCATGCTGTCTGCTAATGTCTATTTTGTCTGTATCTGTTTTGTGAGAAAACTGTGGAAGATGTCACTTGAACTTGGTGTTACAAGACTCTTGTGGCACCTGTGGCTTTTGTTGGAAGAAACATGTCCTCTCAGATACATTGGTTGCTTGAAAATCTTCATTTTCAATCAACAAGGGAAGTCAGGTAAACGTGCTCGCAACACAGAAACCGCTCCCAATCTCCAGCATTGGAGATCAACTTAGTTTACCGCAGGGGAACTCATCTGGAGCTGTCCGCTTTCCCACTGTTTTCCCTGGCTTTGAGCCCAGATTTTCCCTGGCATTGGGCCACACGGGTGTTTAGTCGTGTAGTATCTGTATAGCCAGCATGGAACGGACATGTGCATTTCCCACTACTTCTGAGTGTACTATGATGATGATGATGATGATGATGATGATGGATCATGGGGAAATTGATGCATGAAATCGACTTTAAGATCCCCCCGTGGTGGCTCAAGCACCAACCAGGAGAAAAGACCCGGCACCTTTTTGAATTGCCATGGGTGCTGATAGAATTCCTACAAGGGATCACAGCGATTGTTAGACCCAAAGGCCGATTATTTCACTGGTTGTTATTTGGTTCTTAACTTAACCGGTTTTAAATAATTATCCTGCAGTTTCTTGCTGGTTAAGTTACACTAGATCCAAGCAATTCCTCGTTTAAAGCCTTCTTTCTTCAGCCACTTAGAGAAACATTCGAGTGGCCGGTTTCATGGCAGTATTTTTTTTTTGCAGGCCCGTGAAAGCTTCGTAATCACCACGGGGATTGACACCAAGCTTGGCTCTGCGCCAAAGAGCAAGGTGGGCATCAGTCACACCAGTGACAGGGAGGTGTTTTTTCTTTCAATCATGCGAGAAGGATCTGGCGGTATTTTTGCGTACCATTGAAACCATTGGTAAGAAAGTCACGGGTTTCTTGGTGAAAGAGACCTGTACTCCTAGATGTGACAAAAATTACCTTCTCAAGGCCTTTTCTTGAGTGTTTCCAAGCAAAGCAACTGTCACAGATAAGAACTTTTCATCTACGCTCCATCTGTGTCAGATCTTAGGAATCTGGAGGCTTGAAATACTGTTCATGGGTCCCAAACACCTTCAACACACGCACGCGTAACTCCACTCAATGGTTCAACGCACCATGCAGTTTTCAGACTCCAAGACTTTAGCCTGACTCTTTTTCCAAGCAACTTTCGCATGGAATTTGCATAAGTAAGCAATCCAAAGACTGATATCGTCAAACAGCAAGCGCACAACACGTTACTTTAGACTCTACAACATTTGCTCTAGGAATCACAACCAATGATTTATTATATGAGTTACGCTCTCAAAGGTTGAAGACCACTATAGTATTGCAGAAGCACTTTTGTCAGAGATGTGCACGAAACACTGTAAAGTGATATGGCCTCCCCCAAAAAGCGATACCGATAATAGTAACTACTGAGATGTAAGTTCTTTTAAAGGATTTTGACGGGAGCTATTTTTTGCTTTGCATTGAAATATTTGGCACCAAGCTCAAATGAGCTAGTGGCCACACGGGAGCCGTCGATCCAGATCCACAACGATCAAAGAATGCGCCGACAATTTGAACAGGATAGGACAATCATGGTTCTAGAAACATTGGAGCGATCTGAAAAATTGACAAACGATAGTTAAACAATAGTTTAAACAATCATGGTTCTAGAAACTTTTGCTTTCCAATCTTTTTGAAGGATTGATTTCGAGCGAAGATTTAAAACTCTGGTGAGCCACCAAATTTGAATGCGCGTGACCGAACGGTTTTGCATGTTTTCTTTGCATTGATAGTTTTGCGGAGCCCAGTCCCGCAGACGAAAAGAAGCGAGGAATATGACTTTGATAAGCTCATATATCCCATGTACTGAAACTTCGAACTGACCACGCGATGGTCTGGGTCCAGCTGACGCAGATTGGACAGTTTGAGAAGTTCGATACCAAACCCTGTGCAGGGTGTATCCCTACAGCTGAGAGCCCACGACAAGAAGGATGTGTTAGGGACAGACCTCAGTTGGTATGATCCACGATAAATGAGTACCTGGTGTGTGGCTTTGTTGCACGTTGGGTACCCCTTTATCCACTTGTTAATCATCGTTTTCTGACTAAAATTGCCATGTCGTGGGTACACCCCATTTCTGTCACAGCAATGTTGTTGTTGTTGTTGTTGCTGTTGTTGTTGTTGTTGCTGTTGTTGCTGTTCAAGTCGTTGTCGCTGTCGCTGTCGCTGTCGCTGCCGCTGCCGCTGCCGCTGCCGGTGGGGGTGTCGTTGTGGTTGTGGTTGTGGTTGTGGTTGTGGTTGTGGTTGTGGTTGTGGTTGTTGTTGTTGTTGTTAGTGGTTGTTGTTGGTGGTTGTTGTTGGTTGTTGTTGGTTGTTGTTGGTTGTGGTTGTGGTCGTGGTTGTGGTTGTGGTTGTGGTTGTTGTTGTTGTTGTTGTTGTTGTTGGTGTTGGTGTTGTTGTTGTTGTTGTTGGTGTTGGTGTTGTTGTTGTTGTTTTTTGTTTGTTTGTTTGTTTGTTTGTTTGGTTGGTTGTTGTTGTTGTTGTTGTTGTTGTTGTTGTTGTTGTTGGTATCGGACGTCTAAAAACACATTCTATACATATAGCCCCAAAATGAGGCCGCCAGCCTGTGCATACATAGCCTCAAAAAGAGGCCGCCTTCCTGTACATAAAGTCTCAGCATAGGTGAGATTGACCGTTCAGAGCGTAGGCCGCCACGTTCATGAGCACCGGCAAGAAGGTCAAAAGAGTCAAGCCGAGCTGGACATTGACCTAGCCTTTCACGATCTCAGCAACTATCAAGGCCAAAAGAGCCATACGAAGCATGGCATTGACCCACCGCCAACCCACCAAAGCCAAAAGAGACAAGCAAGAGTGCCTGTCATTGGCCCGCCAGCTCTGTGATGAACAAAAAATCGCACCAAATTCGTAGCAGAAGCTGCCACGGAGTAAACCCAGCCATAGCCATCACCAGGATCCAGAGATTGCCGCAAAGTGAGCCAAATGGCAACCAGCCATCTGCGCCCCACGCCATGAGAAGCCAGCTGCCCCAAAACTGTCCTGGTCCTAACACGACCTGGCTCACGATTCTGCCGACGCCATCTGCCTTCCATGGCCCTCGCCCAAGACCTTCACAGGACCCCAAGCAAACGACAAGGCCTACGTGCTGTCGCATGGCCTGGAAATGAAAGCCGCGCTCAGCGCCTGCTTCTTCCTTCTGCCTCCTCCAAGCAGTGCCATGGGGGCTCATCATGCAGGTGGCATCAGCAAAACCCTCACCAGGATCGTCGCCATCCAAGCAACGATAAGGGAGCAGACGCATCATCCCCCCGACCGGGGAGGTATGTATTGACAGGTTAATTCCCGCGCAACCATTCCAGGCCATGGCTGCGCCCCCCTCCCGGGGACACGCATAACCAAGGACACGCACTTCGGTTGCTAGGATTAGGTTAGCTTCAGCTTCTGGTTTCACTTTTGCACCTTTCGCATCCTTTCGCGAGGTGAGCAAGAAGAGCAAGAAGAAGAAGTCCAGCGGATGCTGCTAAGCATATCTGGCTGCCACCTGTATACGATCCATTGAGAAGGGTATCTTTTGTTGAGCCTTCCATAGGTTTGGAAGAGATTCTGCCCCTAAAAGTTTCTGTATCAACATATTCCCATCTTGTGGGTTATTACCGCTACAAAGAAGCTTGAATACTTTCTCCAACTCCCATTATCATGACTTGGATCGGATATCTTGCAAGTCCCACCCTGGGGCGAGGAGCTCCATGGACGGGCAGGCGGCACAATGGCAACGGTGTCAATGTGCCCCCCTTTTGCCAAATGATTCATTTGATCGTTTACAGCAGACGATCCAGTTGTTTGGTCTAGTCGCCAGGCAATAGATGATGAAAAGGGCGGTGCAATTGTGGTAGAAGCCAAACTGTTTTTAGTAGGTGGTTCAGCTCTGCCATTAGGGAATTGAATCTGTGTTGCTGGCACTGGATCACAACTGTGTTTTCCGGAACTCTGACTGTCAAGCACAAAGACAAAGACTGATTGGTTGATGTGAAGCAGAAAAGGCCGATCGATTGGTTGGTGCATTGGGTCCTTGGTTAGGATGTTCCAGTTCGGAAGTGTTTCCCACCCCAGGTTTAGGCTGGTGGATACTTTGTGTCTGGCTGGGCGGATTGGGATGGTTCTTTAGTGTTTGCCGTGGTCTGGAGAGGATCGTGACCTGGTACGGACAATCAGGACTGCTTCGACCCTCAAAGTCATGGGTAAAGCACCCAGACAAGACAGCAGGGGCGCGCCTCTAGAGTCTAGAGCCGTCAATGTTGCCTTGTGAAGGCATTTCGGTAGCTATCTTCAACTTTTCTCAAATTGCTTTGTGTTTGATGCATCCCCAAAGTGACCCAATGCTTAAGATTTGAAGCCCTGAGCACGCATGGAATGCACTGTCTTGGCTCAACTCCCAGCGCTTTGGTGAAGAACATTGCAGTGCTTTGCCTCCGTCCTTGAAGGATCGCAATGGCAGGTGCCCAAATCTGAGTATGTGTTTGTGTGTGATGCTTCCAAGCTTGTTCTGCTCCAAAGAGACTAGACCCAAAGTGGCAACTTTTTTTGAGTGATTTAAACTTGGGGTGATTCTGATTTCAAAGAATCTGGAGGAGTGACCTCATCCGTGAACAACAAAGAGCCATGAGTCATGTTTTTACTTGCTGAAAGAAGCTGAAGGAGACAGTCTTGGCAAATTCTTTAGATTTTAGATCCTTGAATCCAGAGAAACATGGCAATGGTCCAGCACTCCGCAAGGTGTCCCGACCGAGCCTGTACCAGTGACTGATGCTGCCGTGCCCGTCACCAGCGCAGCAACTTGGCAGGGGGATTGCTGACAGGGTCAAGCTTGTATATAATATAATTTTGTAAACAAATATAGAAAACAAGAAATAAATAATAAATAAATATATAAATATATATATATATTTGTATTTATTTTAGGGGAATATACTTACTACCCAACAAATATATCGGGAATCCCTCTTAACCAACCAGTATAACATGTATATAAATAGTTTCATCAAATGACAGAGGGTTTTGAACACTGCTCAAATAGACTTTGGATAAAAGCAACCTAGCAAGGACGAACTTGGAAGGTCAAGTACCTTAAATAGATGGGTCTTAGTAGGGGGAATGACTTGAGAGTCCAAACAATGGAGGCAAGACAAGGAGCAAAGAAAACAATATACCGGCAAGAGACCCCAAACAGTGTGTGTGTGTGAGGATAATGTATGACAGATAATGTTGTTGTTGATGATGATGATGGTGATGATGATGATGATGATGAGGCTGGTGATGATGATGATGATGATGATGATGATGATGATGATGATGATGATGATGAGGCTGGTGATGATGATGATGATGGTGATGATGATGGTGATGATGAGGCTGGTGATGATGATGATGATGGTGATGATGATGATGATGATGGTGCAGGGTGATGATGGTGATGATGATGATGATGATTATGATGATGCGGAGGAAAATAATGTTGCGGACGGTGATGTTGAGGATGACGATGTTGAGGATGATGAGGTGCAGGGTGATGATGTTGAGGATGATGAGGTGGAAGATGAGGTTGAGGATGATGATGTTGAGAAGGAGGAAGATGATGATGTTGAGGATGAGAATGTTGAGGATGATGATGAAAAGGATGATAAGGTTGCGGAAGATGAGGCGGAGGATGATGATGTTGCGGAAGACGAGGCGGAAGATGATGATGTTGAGGATGTTGGTGTCAAGGGGAGGACGATGATGATGTGGAGAATGATGATGTTGAGGAGGAGGAAGATGATGATGTGGAGAATGATGATGTTGAGGAGGAGGACCGATCCCAAGACCGCGACCCACAGCTTGTTCCACCCTGCGCGGTCGAAATGCACATGGACAAAACACAAGAACCATTTAATGCAGAAATTTACAGGTAAAATGCCGCAGGCCAAGACCGCGACACACGTGAGCAACTCGATCAAGCACCGGCCTTAACTCCTACCGTAAGAACCCTTCAGTATGGACACACTGTTTGGGGAACGTTCGAGTTTGGATTTTTCCTGTTTCCCGACGGGTGCCTGTCGTAGTGTTTCATGTTGCTCACTTGGCTTCCACGCCGTGTAAAACCCATGCATAGAAACCATTTGGCAGTGCCCCTAATTTTGTTTGGGTTAATATGAGGATTCCCTATGGGTGAATATGATCGTGAAACAAGAAGCACATTGTGGATGTGTACCATCTTCAGGATGCTAAAGCCGATCCAATGTGGGGTGTGACCATCCACCAAAAGTCATATACTGTATAGCTGTGAGCATGGTACATGAAAACTGCTGAGGTTCAGATGGGCAGTGGCGTACCCATCAGCACCACTTATCCCATGGAGACTGGTGCCTCAACTCAACGTCTCCCTGGACTGGGCACGGGCGGGCACCATAAATGCTTTGATTGGTGGTAGCCAAAGAAAGTGACTTTCCAAGACCTTGTTTGGAAAGATCAGCCTTGCTTACTTGACCGATGAGTGATGCATGATACATGCATAATATCTTCCCCTTAATATTCAATACCCCCCCCAGCGAGGCACCCCAAAATGACAAGATTCCACGATGCAAAACAAAACCAGGGTTTCTAAAGGGCTATGTCCTGTTGGGGGGATGGGATAGTGTTGGGATGGTTTCAAGACTGTCAAACCCAAATCCATTCAGTTTAGTAACGTAACCTGATAATTTCAGCTGAGAGTGCCTGAAAGCCTCTGTGAAGACGATTCTTTGACTAGTGAAAGATCGCTCGCATAACAAGTGGTCATTACCTTTGGTGGTAAGAACATGTTGTAGCCTCCAACGTAGTGTCGAAACCTCTTTTTTCTTTACTGCAAAGACAGTGGTTGACTTCGTTCTTTCCTTGCCATATCTCCACTTTAAGATAAGAACTTGTTTGATTCCCATGTTGTGTAGATAAGTTCCGGCATTTGCTGGTCATCACCTGTTGATGTAGCAGCACATGCAAGCGACCCCTTTATGCACCCACTGCCCTCAGGTGCTCCTCAGGTTGTCTACACCTCATCGCCATATGTGATGCCTGGTGCTGCCTCCATCAGTGCCATGCCCATGACCAGCTATACCACGATGCCAATAGCGTACAGCACCTGGGATGCAAGATCTGTAAAGATGTGCTGCACAACCCTTTAGAGTAGCCAAAGGACCTCCTCACCCTTTGGGATGTGGATGCCTTGATACAGGTCAACAACATATTCTGTGGGATTTCTTGCGGCTTGGAGGATTTTCATCTTCCAAAAAATCGACTTTGGAGGATTTCCAATTGTGGCTATGTCTGAAAGTAGGTATGCAACCCTCAACATCCCCATGGTTTATCATCATTTTCCCTATTATTTCGTGGTCAAATCCCATTCATTCAGAGACTGGCTTCTCGTAGCTGATATCCTGGTTTCAATTTTTCATTCTTCATCCGAGCTACAGTAAGTCTAATGGTTAATCCGAATAATGATTGTATGCTGACAAGAATTGTTGAAAAGGGTGGTTCAAAACAACGCATGGGTGAAGAACGATCATGGGCGATAGTTCACACCCATACGCACTTGACTATACACCAGGATTTTATATATCTATATAATGTAAAAATTGAAAAGATCAATCCCTGAAGTGCTGAAGTGAATCATGTCATGATCGTCAGATGAAGTCAGCACTGCCTTGTAATGAAGTTTGGTCCATTTTGGATGTCGGGTTGGCTCTGACCAATCCCTGGCAGGGCTTAGCCACCAAAGCGGCTGAGGCGGCTTGGACCACTCCCAGGGCAAATGGTTCGCCCCGGGCGAGGCTTTGCCGCCCGGATTCATCATCACGGCTCACCCAGAGGGCCACACAGCACCACAGGAGGGCCACATGATGACCGACAAGGCGAGGGCAGGGCGGAGCGGCGACATGCTGGGAGTCCTCGTGTTCCTTTTCTTTCGTAGGGGGTTTACGTCAAGGTACTACCCACCACCCACCTGTTGGCAATTCAATAGTGGGCGACTACTCGCACCTGTCTCCGCAGATAAAAAGAGTTGGATCGATTTTTGCCAAAGTTTGGAAGCACACGAGCATACACAGGCACATGCCCTTGATTGGTTTTGTGTTTGATTGCTGGTGTTGGCACCACCACCACCACCGCCACCGCCGCCGCCGCCACCGCCACCACCACCACTGGCCTTTTGCTCCTCGTGAGTTTTCCGGATCCTGTCATGGATCCTTGGTTCGGAGTTGGGATCTTTGGTGGCTGCCCCAGGTGAGGGAGGTGTCACGTCTTTTGTGCTTTGTGGCAAAATGGTGCCGGAGCGACTTGACCTTTTGAGCCGGTCCCAACTTGGGAAGACTCACTGAACACAAGGGGCAATTCCAACCCTGCAGCTCAGCCACCACCACTACCACCACCACCACCACCACCACCACCACCAGCAGCAGCAGCAGCAGAAACAACCACCACCACCACCACCACCAGCAGCAGCAGCAGCAACAACAACAACAACAGTAACAGTACCGTGTTTTTTTGCGTGTGAGGCGACCAAAACATAGAAATTTGCTGTGTTTTTTTTCCTGAAGGCTTTTGAAAACTGATCTTGTTGGATGAGTGTTTCAACTTTCAAACCAGGCCCGCGAGAGCTTTGTGATCACCACCGGCACCGCCGGAATCAAAACTGGCGCCGCCCCCAAGGCGTGTGCGAAGAGGATAAGGATTCCCCGCCCCAAATTTGTTGAAAGGGTTGCTAATTTTTCACCATCAACCCCGATCAAGGGTTTAGTCTATTCAAATTCAAAAAATCATTATTGGTTGGTTGGGGTACATGTGAGGGTGCAACTGTGAATTCCTGGATTTCATGGGAAGTCGAAAGTGATGAAATGCAGGTAACATTTGTTATCCTGTCAATGCTCCAATGCTGCGCCAGACCAAGAAGAGCAAAAAGAAGAAGTCCAGCGGTTGCTGCTGAGAGTGCGCTGGACGGCGAGGGCAGGAGTTGCACCGCTTCAGTGCTAACTGTGGACGAGTCTTTTTGCCAAATCTGAAACTGCAGAAACAAGATGACTAAGTTTGGAAAATATAGTCTCAAGAACCCTTTCTGGAGTACAATGCTCCAGGGTTGTGTCTAGTTGGTGGTCTAGCCCTCGGCGTTGATTCTTGGACCCCTAGCCTACCGGGGCCGTATCATACAGTGGCACCCTCTCGATCAGGGCACCACAAGGTGTCAGGAATCGGGATGGCATGTCAGTCCGCCATTTTTTTGCGAAATGATCAGCGAACATGATACCAGTTCTTTGATCCAGCTGCCACCAATCAGTATCTGAAGGCCATCTCAAGTCATGATGCCACATGGTATCTTGACAGAATTTACAAGGGATTTGATCCATCCTTGGAAAAACAACAGTGTTCAGGGGATACAGCCACAGCTAACAATTTTGTAGTACCAGCCACAGGGGAAATGGCCAGCTGGATCTCCACCTGCACTGGGACTCTGAGGGAACGCAACAAGGCGTGCGCCAGTTGAAGCGGTCCGAAGGGATTTTTAACATGGTACCCGGCCTGGTGAACATACAAAAAGCAATGGAAAATGGCCATAGAAATAGTGGATTTTCCCATTAAGAATAGTGATTTTCCATTGCTATGTTAAATTACCAGAGGGTAATATGCCAGTTGAATCAGTTGAGTTGCGAGTTGAGTTGCCAGATTTGTCTGGTTGGGGACTTTGGATAATGGTCCAATTTGCCAATACCACGTCCGGATTGCGGGCCGTCATCAGGAGGGTTTCAGGACGCGGTATCATCGTGATTGCATCACAAAGAATTACGGGGAGTTTTTTTTGTTCCAGTGCATGTCTCACACTCAGATATCCCGGATATTCTCCATTGAAAACACATGAGGCAAAATAGCATGCAAATGTTTGCAGTGGTTGTATCCAAACAAGAACAAGAGGAACGATGCAAAACTCCAAAGAGGCAATGAACATTTGGTCCAAATTCTGGGCTGCACCTTGTGGCTCAACAAGCGATTCCGTCAACTCAGTGTTTCTTTCTTGCTTTCATTGCTTTCCGGTGCGGCAATTCGGACCCAATGGCAGGTCCGACATGGGTGGGGATGGGTCAGTGTGAATATCTAATATCACTCATCCTTGCAGTGTTTTTCAATCCCTTTTGCACCCTTGGAAATGGTGTTCGAAAAAACAGTAGTGCTAGTGCCTGAAATTGGACGGCCTCAGACAATGAAAATATATAAATTCATCTCAAAGATTCCCAAACATTTGGGTCCTGAAATTTTGACACAGAGCCAGTTCATTCTCATGGTCACCCGACATGGGTATGACCAGTCAGCACTAGGCGTGGCGACTGAGCCGATGCCAGTGACTGATGCTGTCCCTGTGACCAGCGCTGTATCTGGGGCTGCAGTGGCGTCAATGCCGTGAAACTTTGAATCAACACATGTGCGGGGATAATCCAAACATGGTTGTTCGCCAAATTTACCATATTTCATCAACGACAGTAAACTACAGTATGTGGTGGAAACATTGCTATGTACCAACCATAATTGGGATGTAACCTTTCACTAATTCAGCTACCACAGGTCATATATCAGCATGTCACAGCATGGCCAACCATGGTGGATGTCCATAATTACCAACATGGTCAATGTTTGAGTTGCAGAGGATTGGCATTATTTGTGATTTGGGGTTCACATTCATTCTCATCTCTCAACCTGAGATACTATTTGGTAATCTAACATAGTAACATAGCCATGGAAACTGGCCCATTCGTAAATGATATAGGTGATTCTCACGAGTTTGAAGCTGGCATGACGAGTGTATCGGTCGCATGTATTTACATCTCAAGCCTTAAAGTCCCCCTCTTGTTCATTCGCTGATGGGCGGAACGTGGTATCCATATTTGGTTGGAATTGTACTGGGCCATTTAGGAACTCTTTTTGGCTGGGGCTTTACTGCCGTGGTTGAAGCCCTTGTGTCCATCCTCAAAAGGGACAACAGTTCTGCCATCAAGCTGATCGATCAAGTGCCCCCATATCCCTCGAGTGCTGAAAGCTCAACCTGGACAACCACTACTTCTTCAGTTGGTTCTGGCTTTAGGAATTTAGGGTCTTTCCCATCTCTGGATAAAGCTGGTGACAACGAGGGAAATTTGTGGTGGGTGATAGTGTTAGCGGTGATTTCGTGGAGTGTTGCCATTCTCTTGGGAGCAATCCTGTGGGCAAGGCGGCATTCAGCAGCGACTGACGAGGGTCCGGGTTCTCCTTCATTGGGGGAGCTTGCCAGGCTCCAGTTAGCTGAGGTGCGTCTGAGGAGACATGGCATTGGTCGATAGGATTGCTTTGTTGCAGTATGATGTTCCTGGCCGCATTATCAATCATGAGAGGCACATACTCAAACATGTAACTGGAGATGATTATGCAGTGCTGACCCCGGATGGCGATGTGTATGTGGAGACAATGAGCGTGACAAACCCTGATTTACGAGCCTTCAGAATCAGGCCTGCACCAGGGGTATTGCCACCAGGGGTCGCTGCCGATTCAGTGTATCCACTCCCTGTGTATACAGCTGCTGAGATGGCTGGTTTCCGGGCAGAGGCCCAGAGAGAGGTGGCAGCTGCCCTGGCAGCCGGCGGAGGCGGCTTGGCTGGGGCAGCAGTTGTGGCTGCTCCTGTAGCCATAGCTGGGGCCCCCCATGTCGTCCCAGCTGGGGCAGTTGCTGCCTCCCGGGTCCCGGGTCAGTTGCAGTGGTTGGCAGCAGAAAGCAGGTGTGGTTATAAATTTGGCGATGTGGTGAGTGGCATTGCAACAGTTCCAGTGGAGAATGGTCGCATTGTGCAGGTTTTGCCAGATGGGCAGTCGATTTTTGTGCAGTGCGTCGATGGTGGGAAGCTGGATGAGTTTCTGGGTGTGCCAGCGTTGTCAGATCACCGGGTTTTGCCGGTGAAGTACAATGCTATGGGTGTGCCTGAGCGCTCGCTGGCTGAGGTGGCTGCCACCTGCCGTGAAGAGCCAGTGAAATGGTCTCTCCCTGGGCCGAGGACAGCGAAGTGGTGTGTGACGTACCTGAGCGTCGAGGCAATTGGTTTCGAAGCTCACCACGAGCGACTGCGATCTTTGTGCAAGCTGGAGCCCAACTCATGGGGGGTCCAGGAACATTTCCAGTTGTCAATGACTCTGCGACACGCCTTGCAAATTGACCAAGTTGATGGTTTCAATCTGGTTTTTGTCGAAGTGATGTTCAGGCGTTTGCAGACCATTGAGTATGCGCATTCTGAAAGAGCGAGGGAGGCAGAGAGCAAGAGCGTGGGGGGCCGATTGTCCATCGAAGAGCAACAAACCTTCGGTGGTCTTGTCAGGCATGCTGCAACGCTGATGATCTGCCCAAGCCTTTTGGATCATGTCAAATCCGAGGTCGAGAAGGAGGTCGGTCTTCAGAAGAACATGAGAAAGATTCGAGAGGAAAGGGAGGCCGCAAGAAAAGCTGGGAACAAAGGCAAGAAGCAAGGAGAGGAGAACCCCTAGATGTGGGGGTGGGTTCGGCGTGTGGGGCGGCGCTGGACTGGACACCTCAGCCCTATTTTGAGATGCCGGCTGAAGACAGAAAACCTCGAAACCTTTTTCCTTTGCCAGTGTGCCAACCTCAGGTGAGGCTTCCTCGACAAGGCCTTTCCCGGAGTTGTGCGCGCCGGCTGCTGCGTGGCAATGCAGTTGAGGCGGAGGTTCACAACACGGTTCAATGTCTGAACGCCTTGTACAGTGGTGGAGCTGTCGGTCATGATGACTGGCAACAGTTTTTTTGGGCACGGGGCCAGTTTGGCTCAGTCTCGTGCTCTGGAATTTGTGACGCAATCAGTGCATGCGATGGGTGCTCCTCCGGAGGATCTATCTTGTCAAGGAGCTCTTGAGATGCTTCGGACAACTGGGGTGTATGGGGGGGACCAGGCCCCATCTGCTCTTGGTTCTTACAATCCCGCTTTGCTCTCGTTGCCAAACGAAGGAAATGTTCCCGTGCCTTTGGAAGATTTATGGGGGCAGGGCGGGCCCGAGTTTGTGGGGACGTTCGTCCGCAATGTGATTCTGCCCGAGAGTGTGGCCAAGTCAAAGATCAAGGCCACAGGATTGAGACAGTGCTACAGCGACCCTTTGCTTCGTCATCCCAAAACCTTCGCACAGCTGGTCAGACGGCTGCATGATTGCGGCCTTGTAAGCTATAGCCTGGAGCCCTCAAAGTCCTATGTCGAGCTTTTCTTTGTAAAGAAGAAGAATGGCATGTTGCGTATGGTTGTGGACTGTAGACATAGTAATGAATGGTTCGCTCCCCCTATTGGTGTTGCCTTGTCTACTGGTGATGCTTTGTCGAGGATTGAGCTTAGTCCACATGACAATTTGTATTTTGCCTCCGCTGACCTCAAAGACGCTTTTTATCATTTGGAACTTCCTCATGGTATCCGTCATCTGTTTGGTTTACGGGGTGTTCGAGCTGGAGACATAGGACTTGAGTCGCTCAGAGGAAAGCCCGTTCCATGGCATCAGACAGTTTTCCCACAGCTATCCGCGGTCCCAATGGGATGGTCGTGGGCCCTGTATTTGTGCCGATGACGCTTTACGGTTGTCTGACAAAAAACCGGCTCCAGATTCACGGGTTTTGCATACAGAATACGTTGACAATTTTCACGTTATTGGTACTGATGAACAAGCAGTTTCACAATTGTCACAGACAGGTATTGCAGCACTTCGGGATTCGGGTTTGGTTGTGCATGAGGAGGAACAATCTATGGGTAGTGCTCAGATTTTGGGTTGGGAGTTTTCTTCAGATGGTACCCTTCGACCCACAACACGGCGTCTTTGGAAGGTTAGGTTGGCCATTCTACATGTTCTCAAGTCAGGTCGTATATCTGGTCAACAGTTGGAGCGGGTGATTGGGCACATGTTATTTATCTCAATGGTCAGACGTGAAGGTCTTTCAATATTGGGTGACTGTTATACTTTCATTCAACGGCATTACTATTCACCTGCAAAGCTTTGGAAGAGTGTGCGCCGGGAACTGACTATTTGGTATGGTATTGCTCCTTTACTTTGGAAAGATCTTACAGCTGAGTGGTCATCAACAATCTATGCTACGGATGCTTCTGATTGGGGTTCTGGTGTTACAACTTCTACAATGGATATACAACAGGTTCAACATCTAGGTCGTTATGCTGAACGATGGCGGTTTAAGGATGATAGGTGGCGTAACCCCCGTAGGAGTTCACCTTCACTTTTTTCGGCGGATGAGGCTGACGATGTGGTTGCACATGGTTGGGATCAGCAACATGATGATGCAGAGGACCGGCTTCCCAACAGATCTGGGGTACAATTTCAACCTTTACCTTTCTCAGCAGTTGATCGATCATGGAAAGTAGTTGGTCGTTGGAAGTGGTTGAGACAAGAGAGCATGCCCATTTTAGAAGCCAGGGCTACGTTGTTTGCAGTCAAACATATGGTGAGGAGTTCATCTAACTTTGGCAAAAGGATGTTGGTTTTTTCTGATAGCATGACAGCAGTTTCTAGCATTAGTAGGGGAAGGGCACATGCACGAGGGCTTCGACGAGTGGTTCAACAGATATCTGCTTTATGCCTTTGCTCAAGCGTTTGTCTTCATACCCGTTGGTGCCCCTCAGAATGGAATCCAGCGGATAGCCCATCAAGAGGTGGGTGGAAAGCTTCGACTCCTCAGCGGCATTTGGGTCATGGTGATCCACCGGTGCCTGGATGTGAGGCCTTCTCCAGCTCCAAGCCAGTCATCCAGCCAGAGACAAAGCAGAAGATCAGTAGCAAGGACTCGACAAGCTGCAGTCTCGATGCCTGCACGACAGCAGGTGCAACAGACCGTGCTACAGTGGTCGTCAGTGACAGCGGCGACAAGAGCAACATACCTTCGCCATTGGAGTCAGTTCTCAAACTGGTCACTTCAGATGGGGTTAGCACTTGGCAGCAGCGACGAGGTCGACAGAGCCCTGACGCTGTATCTCGAGGAGTGCTACCTGGACGGAAGCGACTTGAGTTTGGGTCGATATGTGGTGGCGGCTGTAACGTTTGTTCGGCCGGATCTGCGGAGCCCAGCGATGCAGAAGTTGCCAGGCACAAAGCAAAGTCTTCAGGGATGGCGCAATTTGTGCCCACCTCAGAGCCGCTTGCCGGTTCCTTGGGAAGTGGCTTGTTTGGTGAGCGCGTGGGCCTTCAAGCAGAAGCTTTGGCAAATGGGAGTGGGGCTACTTCTGATGTTTGCTATGTACCTGCGGCCAGCCGAACTTTGCAGGCTGAAAGTCAGGGATGTTGTCTTCCCAAATGCGAGATTGCGAAGACGCCATCAAAAGACTGTGGTGACTTTGCACAGTTTCGAGGACGGCATTCCGTCAAAGACACACGAGTTCGACGAGACCATCGAGCTCGACCTGGACCACCACCAGTTCCTGACCCCGATGCTTCAGAACATGATTTTGAAGTTGCACCTCCAGAAGGACAGTTCCCTTTTCAACCTAGAGGCAAGTCAGATCCGGGACTTCCTGCAAGAAGTCCAAATGAAGCTGCACATCAACAACATAGGACCTCTCCATCCCTATCGGTGGAGACATGGAGGAGCCAGCATGGACTTCTGGGAAAAGCACAGGGATCTGGTGTCAATACAGAAGCGGGGTCGATGGCGGGCAATGGCGTCCGTCAGAAGATACGAGAAGGGGGGGCGTTTGGCTCAGCTTCTCAGCAAGCTCCCCGATACTACACAGGAGTTGGCCACGTGGGCAAGCGAAAACATAGACGAGGGCTACTACAACCCGCGCCTGCTACGGCGCATTCCTTGACGACTCCATGTTTCTTGGAGCTGTTTAGTGGCAGTGGTCATCTTTCAAAAGCTGTTCACCAAGTCACTTCATGGAACTGTATCACCTGGGATATATTGCATGGAAGCGAGTATGACCATAGGTCATCTGCCAAGCGAAAGCGGATCCTAAACTGGATCAAATCAGGCATGGTGCAAGCGGTGCATCTTGGCACCCCTTGTTGCTCTTTTTCAAGGGCCAGGGACCGCAGACCTGGTCCACCTCCTCTCAGGAGCGATTCGCAACCTTTAGGTTTCAGTGACCTTGGTTTTGCCGATATGGTCAAAGTTCGGGAGGGCAATCTTTGGATGCGTTTTTCGGCTCAGGTTTTTAACTTGTGTATGAAGCTACATATTCCAGTAACCATGGAGAACCCCTTCCGGTCTCGTATTTGGCTGTGTCCTCCCATCAAACATTTGCTGCGACGAAAACAGTGTTACAGTGTTGATGTTGATTACTGTGCTTTTGGTACTCGTTGGCGTAAGCGAACAAAATTCCTTTACTATGGTGTCAACCTTGAACATTTGGGCGTTCATCGCTGCTGCAATTCAAAACGGGGGATTTGTGCTTTTTCTGGCAAACCTCATCTTCAATTGATGGGGGTTACCAAGTCAGGCGTTTTCATGACCAAATTGGCTGAACCCTATCCTGTGCAGTTGTGTCTTAACATTGCACATGCTTTTTTGGATTGGCACACTGAAGTTATCGCTAACAATTTTTGGCGGCGACTGTGGCCAGACAGCAAAGCAACCATGGGTGGCTGAGCAACTATGGGTGTGTTTCAGTGGTGCAATCATGATCGTGATTGGCACGCTTTTTGTTGCGAACATCGCGACTTGCAGATCGCTACCGAGTTCTGGCAGGAAACAAGTCCGAAGCTTCATATAGGTGATTCTCACGAGTTTGAAGCTGGCATGACGAGTGTATCGGTCGCATGTATTTACATCTCAAGCCTTCCCGCCCTGCCCACCCGGCTTGAGCTGGGCGGGTGGGGTGCGTTTCAGTGGTGCAATCATGATCGTGATTGGCACTCTTTTTGTTGCGAACATCGCGACTTGCAGATCGCTACCGAGTTCTGGCAGGAAACAAGTCCAAAGCTTCATTTATATACCCCTTTGAAACGGTGTTTTTCGTAGCAACAAACAATATCAGAAGGATTCAGAAGGTAGATGGTCATGAAGACTACCTTGCACGAACCAAGATAAAGATAATTTCAAGAGTTAGCATCAAGTTTTGCGCTTTTGAGGGTGAAAGCAGACATTCGATATATAAATTGATTTGAAACATGATAAGTGCATGCTCCAAGCATTTAAAAGTGCAAGGAGATCATGGCTGTTGGCCGAGAAAACATGTCTATAGCGGTTTCCAGGTTGCTGAGGTCTGTGACAGGCCATGGATCCGCAAATCCTTGTTGGAAAGTTCGTCTAGGAAATGTTTATTTGAAACCACCAGGCCTGATGTGGATTCTGTGCAGGTCATTTTGTACTTGAGATCCTGTCAGCCAATCAGTAAATTGGACGACACAAGGCTTTGCACACTGCTCAGTCAGATCCTGTCGGATCAGTTGCAGGTTCAGATGGGCAGTGGCATTCCCATCAGCACCACCTATCCCATGGAGACTGGTGCCTTAAGGGCATTGATCTGGCGTGGGATTGGAAGAACTTGACAAGTTGGGATCCAAACAATGGATTTGTCCAAGATATCCCACTTTATTGTGATTTTAGCGGGGCTAATGTGATAGAACCATCGGATTCTTAAGTATATGATTAGCTTGTTTCTGAAGGGGTAAATGGTGGCACAACCAGTTGTAGCCAAGACAATCTGCTGTTCGGAAACTTGACATGCTTTTTATTGCCTATGGCCTATGATGTTCGGGATGATGACTGAGGTCTGATGAAATTGAGGGTTTGGTCCCCATTTCGTTTGCTGATGTGAAGTAGTTTCCCAGTTCTGTCAAATGGTAGGGGTCCATAGAAGAAATCGATTGGGTTAAAATGTCCTCATTTTCATTTGCTGATGCATTTGGTAGTTTCCCATTTCTATTGAACTTCTTTATCTAAATATTGCATTGGGAGTGATGGTAGGGCAATGTTTCGTTGGTGACGGTAGTTGTCACATGAACTGAGGTGCGCCTCAGGTGGTCTACACCTCTTCACCATATGTGATGCCGCAGATGCCGGGTGCTGCCTCCATCAGTGCCATGCCTATGACCAGCTACACCACCGGGATGCCAATGACCTATAGCACCTGGGATGCAAGAGATGGTCTGTCAAGCAACTTGGGCCTAAACTCAGCGCAGAGCAATCTACTTGGTCAGCTAGGGCGCTTGAAACTGCAGCCTGCAAGAAGGATCCGAGGACTTACAGTAGATATCAGTAGATCATACAACTATTCGGGGCAACAAATCTCCTCATAGGAGGTAGTTTCCACTTGCATTGTCCTGCTGGCAGGCCTGGGGACTTCTTAAGTTTCCTGAGGAATAGGTCTCTGAGGGTCTTTGGAATTGACATCATCAGGGTCACTTTGGCTCCAAGAAAGGATTCAGTTCCTCAGGGAAATGGCCAAATGTTCAATGCTGTTGTTCTGGATTGGCTCCTTCATGTGTTTGGAAGCAAGTCAAAAGTTTGGGTGTCCTACCGTAGATTGGACGAAACATGAAACAACCCTTTCTATCCGGTACAACCCCCTCGCCCCCAAAGTTCAATGTTAATGTACCCTGAAGTGCATTAGCCCCACTGGACGAAAGAAATCAAACCCCTAACATCACTTTTGGTAAGAAGCGCGCTGAAACATTGAGATTTGGGGGTGCGGGGTTTCAACATAGTGCGTGTTGCAGGGTTTGAACATTTTGTCCATCTACTGTATCACTTACAGGTGAAGTGAATCATTGCTGCTTGCTTGTCGAACTCCATTTTATTCCAGTTTTTTTGTCACCAGAATCCAGATATTGCTGTTGACTTCAGCAAAAATTTCCATCTTGCAACCACTCCTTGCTGCCGCTGAGGCGGCCTGGACCACTCCCAGGGCAAATGGTTCGCCCCGGGCGAGGCTTTGCCGCCCGGATTCATCATCACGGCTCACCCAGAGGGTCACACAGCACCACAGGAGGGCCACATGATGTCCGACAAGGCGAGGCTCCGAGGGCAGGGCGGAGTGGTGATTTGAGTCCTGGAAGTCATGGGATGTTCTTCATTGATAGGGGTATCACTATCGCTGTTATCACCGGTATCACCGGTATCACCGGTATCAGCCACCTTGTGGTAATTTTTTTTGGATGTCTGGTTCCCAGCTTCTCTGCTTTTTCGTTGCTTTTCCGCTTTCTGCTTTTCCATGCTTTTCTGCTTTTCTAGCTTCTCTGCTTCCTGATTTTCCCGGCTTTTCCCTGCTTTTCGCTGCTTTTCGCTGCTTTTCCGTGCTTTTCGCTGCTTTTCCCTGTTTTATCCTCCTTTTCCCTGCTTTTCCAGCTTCTCTGCTTTCTGCTTTTCGCTGCTTTTCCTGCTTTTCCAGCTTCTCTGCTTATCTGTTTTCTGCTTTTCCCTCCTTTTCTGCTTACCTGCTTCTCTGCTTTTCCTGCTTTTCTTTTGTTTCTCATGCTGTAAATAGATAAACCCTACGAAACATCATATAATACATAAACCCCAAATCCACTAAAACAACGCTAAGTAAACCTTAAACATTCCCTAAATTAATCTGAGACTAATCCAAAACAAACCCTAAACCCACCCTAAATAGATCCCAAACCAACCCCAAATATACGTTTAACCATTAAACCAAACTTAAATAAACCTCGCACCAACCCTAAATAGATCTTAAACCAGGCCTAAATGGTTCCTAAACCAACCCTAAACAAACCTCAAACCAACCCTAAATAGGTCCTAAACCAATTCTAGATAGATCCTGAACCAAACGTAAATAATCCCCAAAACCAACCCTAAAAAGATCTTAAACCAACCCTAAAAAGATCTTAAACCAACCCTACATAGATCTTAAAACAAACCTACATAAAACCCTAAACCAAACCCCAAGTAAACCCTACGCCAATTTTAAATGGATCCTAAACCAACCTTTAATAGATCTTAACCAAGCCCAAATACACCCTAAAACCAACCCTAATCCTAAACCAACCTAAAATAGATCTTAAACCAAACCTGAGTAAACCCTAAAACCAACCCCAAATGAACCCTAAACAACCCAAAACATATTTGAAACAATCCTAAGACCAACCCTAAATAGATCCTAAACAAATCCTAACTCTAAAACCAACGCTTAAAAAACCTAAAGCCAACCCTAACAGAAACCCAAAACTAACCCTAAAACCAACCCTAAATGAAACCTAGTTGCAAACTACCATGTTCCATGAACAGTTCGAGCACCAAAATGTTGCAAACCATGGAAAATGAGAGGTTCGAACTCAAAAATGCTGCCAATACTGTTGAAATGGCAGCTTCCAGCTCCAAAATGCTGCAAATAGCAAGGGAAATGGACAGAACAGGAAATATAAAAACAAAACGGAAAAAAAACATCCCCAAACAATTCCGGGCCCATTCGATAGTGGTCAACTGCCTGTGGTGATGTCTATGTAGCAAGCATCAAGATCGCTGAATCGAGTCTTTGAATATCAGAAGAGTTGGATGGGCTGCGGCCAAAGTTTGGACGTGCAAACACAGCCTTTTTGAATTTTTATTTTGGACCTTCGGTATGTATGGGTAGTTAATGGTATGGACTTGAAAACCAAAGAACTACTGTATGTATGCGCTTACGTGTATCTCGCCATGGTGTTTGTTCATGTCTATGTTGTCATGATCTTTTGTCGAGAAAACTGTGGACGGAGATGTCAGTTGAACTTGGTGTTCTTGAAACTCCTGTGGCTGTTGTTGGAAGAAACATGTCCCCTGAGATACATTGGTTGCTAGAACATCTTCATTTTTAATCAACAGGAGAAGTGAAGTAAACTAACACGGAAATCATTACCAATCTCCAGCGTTTGAGATCATTGTGCATGGAGAAAGAAACTTTGCAGAAGGGTAACTCCTCTGGAGCCCTGGGTGGTGATAGACTTCCTTAAACCCACAGGCTGACTATTTCACTGGTTGTTATTTGGTTCTTAACTTAACCCGTTTCAACTAATTCTCGTCCAGTTTCTTGCTGGTTAAGTTACACTAGATCCAAGCAATTCGCCTGTTTTTTTTTCAGCCACTTAGAGAAACGTTTGAGTGGCGGGTTTCATGGCAGTTTTTTTTTTTTTGCAGGCCCGTGAAAGCTTCGTAATCACCACGGGGATTGACACCAAGCTTGGCTCTGCTCCAAAGAGCAAGGTGGACATCAGTCGCACCAGTGACAGGGAGGTGTTTTTTTCTGAAAATATGCCAGAAGGATCCGGCGCATTTTTTTGGGTGCCATTGAAATCACTGCTGGAGTTTCACTGGTTTCTTGGTGAAATCACCACTTTGAGTGGTTTGACTTATCAGTCTTGTCGATTAACCCGAAGTGTCCTGGTATGGTAGTTGGATGTATGGCACTAGGATGGATTGGAAAATTGAGGATCAAAGAATGCGCCCCCTGCGACAATTTGAGCAGGTTAGACATCATGGTTTTAGAGACTTTTTCTTTCCAATCTTTTTTGAAGGATTGATTTCGAGCGGAGATTTACGATTCTGGTGAGCCAAAATTTGAACGCGCGCGACCGAACTGGTTTTGCATGTTTTCTTTGTATTGAAAGTTTTGCGGGGGCCAGTCCAGGCTAAAAGAGGCGAGGAATATGACTTTGATGAACTCATCATTTTCCGCCTAAAATTGCCATTTCATGGGTGCACCCCATTTCTGTCACAGCAATGCATAACCTAGGACACGCACTTCGGTTGCTAGGATTAGGCCAGCTTCAGCTTCTGGTTTCACTTTTGCACCTTTCGCATCCTTTCGCGAGGTGAGCAAGAAGAGCAAGAAGAAGAAGTCCAGCGGCTGCTGCTAAGCATATCTGGCTGCCACCTGTATACGATCCATTGAGAGGGGTATCTTTTGTTGAGCCATCCATTGCTTTGGAAGAGATTCTGCCCCTAAAAGTTTCTGTATCAACATGTTCCCATTTTGTGGGTTATTACCGCTACAAAGAAGCTTGGAGACTTTCTCGAACTCCCATTATCATGACTTGGATCGGATATCTTGAAAGTCCCACCCTGGAGCAAGGAGCTCCATGGATGGGCTGGCGGCACAATGGCAATGGTGTCAATGTGCCCCCCTTTTGCCAAATGATTCATTTGATCGTTTACAGCAGACGATCCAGTTGTTCGGTCTAGTCGCCAGGCACCAGATGATGAAAAGGGCGGTGGAATTGTGGTAGAAGACTGTTTTTAGTAGGTGGTGTGGCTCCGCCATCAGGGAATCTGTGTTGCTGGCACTGGATCGCAACTGTGTTTTCTGGCACTCTGACTGTCAAGCACAAAGACAAAGACTGATTGGTTGATGTGAAGCAGAAAAGGCCGATCGATTGGTTGGTGCATTGGGTCCTTGGATCATTCCTTTAAAATATCTGGTTAATGGTGGTTAATAGTGGTTAATAGCTTAGTATGTTCCAGAAGTGTTTCCCACCATTGTTTTGGGCCATACTTCAGGGATGGGCTTTGTGGGGCTGCCTCGCGAAACGAGTCTAGAGCCATCAATGGCCAGCCTTGAGTCTAGGCATTTTCGGTAGCTACCTTCAACTTTTCTCAAATTGCTTTGTGTTTGATGCATCCCCCAAAGTGACCCAATGCTTAGGATTTGAAGCCCTGAAAACTCCTGGAATGCACTGTCTTGGCTCAACTCCCAGCGCTTTGGTGAAGAACATTGCAGTGCTTTGCCTCCGTCAACGATCGCAATGGCAGGTGCCCACATCTGAGTATGTGTTTGTGTGTGATGCTTCCAAGCTTGTTCTGCTCCAAAGAGACTAGATCCAAAGTGGCAATTTTTTTGAGTGATTTAAACTTGGGGGGATTCTGATTTCAAAGAATCTGGAGGAGTGACCTCATCCGCGAACAACAAAGAGCCATGAGTCAGGTTTTTACTTGCTGAAGGAATCTGAAAGAGACAGTCTTGGCAGATTCTTTACTGGTTGGTGGTTTGGAACATTTCTTATTTTTCCAAATATTTTTCAGAGGGGTTCAAACCACCAACCAGTTTAGATTTAGATCCTCGAATCTAGAGAAACATGGCAGTGGTCCAGCATTGTCCGCAAGGTGTCCCGACCGAGCCTGTACCAGTGACTGATGCTGCCGTGCCCGTCACCAGCGCAGCAACTTGGCACAGGGATTGCTGACAAGGTCAAACTCTTATATAATTTTTGTATAGATATATGTACATATAATATATTATTGGTATATATATATATATATTTATTTTTTTATTGATATATATATAGTATCAATATCAATATCAATATATACATATACATATACACATATGTATCAATATATATATATATATATATATCAATAACTATATATTTACATATATATATATTTATCGATATATATATATATATATTATATATGTATATATCGATATATATATATTGATATATATATATATATTGATATATATATTGATATATATATATATATATATTGAGATATATATATTGATATATATATATATTGTATCAATATATATATATATATATCAATATGTATATATATATCAATATATATATATATCAATATATATATATATCAATATATATATATATATACATATATATACGTCAATAGATATATGTATATATCAATATATATACATATATATAGATATCAATATATATATAGATATCAATATATATATAGATATCAGTATATATATATATGTATATCGATATATATATATACACATCAATATATATATAGGTATACCAATAATAAACATATACCTATACACATATATATATATGTATCAATATATATATATATAAATTTGGGGGATTGTGCCAATGTGTTGGGAATTCTGTTAGCCAACCAGTAGACAGATGTTTTTTCAGTATGATCAACTCTGGAGGGGAAAGGAACATCGCTGTTTGAGCAACGCTCAACGTACTTGAAAATATGTGGGAATAATTTGATAGTATTGTTAACATAGAGAGAGTACTTAATATATATATATATATATATATGTCATATACATTTAGTACTTGAAAATATGAGAGTACCTGAAATGGATTGGTCTTAGGGGGGAATGACTTGAGAGTCCAAAAAAGAGACAGAGTTGGACTTGTTCTCCAGACAGGTGCCGGTCATGGTGTTTGCTGTTGCTTATCTGGCTTCACCTCCCAAAAATCCATGCATGGAACTGTTTGCTTAGGTTCATGATCTTCGGAAACATCCCAATGAGGACCCCTTGTGGGTGAATATGATCTTGAAACAAAACGCACAACTGTGGTATGTATATATATATATATTATACTCTGTATATATATATATACAGCACCATCTTCACGATGCTGAAACAGCTTTCCAATGTGGGGTGTGGTCATTGAATCAAACTGAGCAGCTGTGAGCATCATGGCTGCGCAGAGGTTCAGATGGGTAGTGGCGTACCCATCAGCACCACTTATCCCATGGAGACCGGTGCCTTGGCTGAAAATCTTCCTCGCTTGATCAATGAGCCAAGGAGGCAACGAGAAATGAACAGATTCCACGGTGAACAGATACCAAAGCAGAGTTTCCAAGGTGTTATTTCATATTGGGAGGAAGGATTAGTCATTGGGATGGTTTCAAAACTTTCACAAATCCATTCATTGTAGTCAGCTGATCATTTCACTTGAAATTGCCTGAAGGCCGCGCAGAATTCCTTGAATAGTGAAAGATCACTTGCATAGAAAGTACTCATTAAAGTTGGGCGCGGAACATGTTGTAGCCTCCAGGATAGGTCAAAACCTGTTTTTCTTTCCTGGAAAGCCAGTGGTTGAATTCTTTCTTTCTTGCAATATCTCGATTTTAAGGAAAAAACCCGTTGAATTCCCATGTTGTGTAGACAAGTTCCAGTATTTGCTGGTTGTCCCATGTTGTGTAGCAATCTAGTTGGTGACTGTTTGTCACATGATTAACTGAGGTGCTCCTCAGGTAGTTTACACCTCATCGCCATATGTGATGCCTGGTGCTGCCTCCGTCAGTGCCATGCCCATGACCAGCTATACCACGATGCCAATGGCCTACAGCCCCTGGAATGCAAAATCTGTAAAGATATGCTGGAAAACCTTCAAGCTCCCCAAAGGACCGTTGATGTTTGCAGGGCTGCGAATGTATGTGGTAAGTTGCGCAAGATGGGCTCCGCACCCTGATTTCTTGATGGTCATAGCAGCATAGCAGTTTTTTTGTCGGATTTCTGGCTGGTGGATTTTCATCGAAAATTGTGGCTTTGTCTGAAAATATTGTAGGTATTTTTAACCCCAAACATACCATGGTTTATCGTCTTCTCAATTAACTGCCATGGGGCTAGGGCCAAATCCCCCATTTTGAGTGGGCGATTTTCGATAGTGCAATGATTGATCCAAAGATGTACACAGAAAAAGTTGGACTAGTGCTAATAATAACAGGAATCAATGATAACAATCATACAATTAGTAGTAGTAGTAGGAGGAGTAGGAGTAGGAGTAGGAGTAGGAGTAGGAGTAGGAGTAGTAGTAGTAGTAGTAGTCGTAGTAGTCGTAGTCGTAGTCGTAGTGGTAGTGGTAGTGGTAGTGGTAGTGGTAGTGGTAGTGGTAGTGGTAGTGGTAGTAGTAGTAGTAGTAGTAATAATACAAGTAATATCATAGTAATGCGCATGAGTCAACATCCTCATAATCACCAGTGATACTTCATCTCTATGACTGACTATACTTGAGTAAGATACCTTGAAACTGCCAAGTTTTTTTTCCAATTCATTCTAACTTCAGTTTCCCACAAAATCATCAACATTGTCAGAATCAGCTGTTCCTCTCACGGGACGTGACCAAGAGATCCGGGCAGCCGCGTTTGGCTTCGCAGCTTCGGCCGAGGCGGTTTGGACCACTCCCAGGGCAAATGGTTCGCCCCGGGCGAGGCGTTGCCGCCCGGATTCATCATCACGGCGCACCCCGAGGGTCACACTGCACCACAGGAGGGCCACACCATGTCCGACAAGGCCAGGTGACATCTGTTGAAAAATCTATATGCACAAGAATATATATATATATATATCTATATATGTAATGTAATGTAATGTTTATGTTCATGTTCATGTTATGTTATGTATCTATGTATGTATGTATAAACACACACACACATGTACATATGTATATACAAACACATATCTCTGTATACACATCTACTTCTTAAATATGGTAGGAGTGGGCATGCCTGCAGGGTGCATCCCTTGGTCTTCAGGCCCGTGAGAGCTTTGTGATCACCACCGGCACCGCCGGAACCAAAGCTGGCGCTGCACCCAAGGCGCCAGTGGAAGATGTGAGGTCCCTAGGTATCCAAAGGTGAGACCCCAAACATAGAAATATCAGCTGTTATCACGGTCACCATCAATAGTATTATCATCATCACCATTATTCTTATTATTCTTATTATTTTATATTATCGTGTACTATTAATTTCAAGATTACTTAATCATGATTATTATTCGTATTATTCTTATTGTCATTATCATCTGATAATTGAGCGTTGTGAAGTATTCCCAACAATCCTTAAGAATGGGCAAGCCCACCCCCAGTGATCGGTTTGGGATAAAATCCCAGGCGAAGAAGAGCAAGAAGAAGAAGTCCAGCGGCTGCTGCTGAGTGCGCTGGACTGCGAGGGCGTTGCACCGCTGAGATGTGCAACATCTCCGGAGTCTTTTTACAAAATTTGCAGCAGAAAGAAACACATGACTTGGTTTGGAACATAAGATAATCAAAAACCCTTTTGGAGTACAGTGCTCCAGGGTTCTGTCTAGTTGGTGATCTAGCCCTCAGCGTTCACTCTTGGACCCCTACCGGGGCCGTATCATACTACGTGGCAGTGGCACTGTCTCGATCGGGGCACCACAAGGTGTCTGGTACCGGGATGGAATCTCAATCCGCCACCTTTTTGCGAAATGATCCGCGAAAACGACACCAGTTCTTTGATCCAGCCATCAATCCACATCTGAAAGCCATCACACGTCGATTTTTTTGCCGAAGTTGGAGACATAGCTTGATTTCCATCAATACAGAAGCCCATGCCAAGATTACCAGCCTTATTCTGGGAAACCCAAGAATCAGGGAGAGCGACCGTTGCGACCGTTGCGACCCTTGCTGGGATGTGGCTGGATCTCCACCTGCGGCGATTTTGCAGAGACTGTACCAGATGGAGATGAAATAAACACGCCGCGTGCCTGTCCCATTGCCCTGGATGATGGGTCCGAAGGGAAAAATGATGAAAGATATGGATGTGGGTCAAAATGGAAGACCTAGGGACCATAGATGTTAGTCTAGTTTAGTACCAACCATCCAATTATTGGGGTACCTAATTTTGACCCATACCCATATGTAAAATGAAGGGTAAAATGAAAGGACATTCTAGATGGAAATGAAGTCCAGCTTGTTTCTAGTGGGCTTTTGTAGGATTATTTACCAGGACATCCATCAGTCCATAAGTTTCCCTTCTGCGCATTGAGTGATACAAAACTGTTGAAACTTTGGGGATTTCTTTGGGGCTTCTGAAAGCATTGCATTCCTTCTGGAGGGAGATGGAATTGGCATGTTTCCAGCTCCTGCGAATGTTGTAAACCGAATTTTTGAAACCATCTGCAATATTACCATAAATGGGCGATAAACATCATCCCCAAATGGTAGCCTTGTTTATGTAATGTGGGGCCCCATTAAGAGACACATCTTGCCACATTTAGCATGAGTTCCTCGCTGCGGCTCAGCGAACGTAGGGATCAACGCAGCTCTAGCTCTGTGCAGCGCGAAGCAACTCCGACATCCCAATGGCAGGCCAGTTCGGATAGTGGAGGCAACAGGGAGAGGACGAAGATTAGGTGACCCTAAAGGCCCTAAGGTGTCATTAGTTCCATGGATTCCATGGCTTGAAAATCCCCCCATGTTCGCTGCCATCTTTACCGGAGGATATGTATATTATGTATCATCAGTTTCTGATGAAACTCTAGTTGGAGACAAATGTAGCGATTGGTGATCATACTGGCAACGCTTTTTTCTGTGGTTACCTTCCAACTTTCACAGGTGTTTCGACCGAGCGCACAATGCTATCATGCGATTGAAGCAGTTAGGATGACCTGCCGGGCCGAGGTTCAGATGGGCAGCGGCATTCCCGTCAGCACCACCTATCCCATGGAGACGGGTGCCATGGTCAAAGACTTGGACTCAGCCACAACTTCGTTTTTTTTGTTACTACTTATTTTCTTAGGAGTTCATATGGAGGTTTCCTAAAATGGAGGTACCCCAAAATGGATGGCTTATAATTTATAATAGAAAATCCGAAAATCCTATTAAAACGGATGATTTTTTGGGGTACCCTTATTTCAGGACACTCCCATATACCTTTGAAACAAGAATCCCAAAGGGCTGGCGAAAGCCCAACAGATTCCGCATTCTGGTGGTGTTTGCCTCCATTTCAGGCACTATCTCAATGTCGTTATAGTTTTTGAGTTTGGAACAAAAGCCTAGATTCCATTAGATTCCTAGATTATCTTGACTCAATGTATATAGTTATCTTGACTCAAAATCTTGTCTCAAAATCTGGAACCCCAAGTTCTTCAGTTTTTTCTCCAGCATTTTCCGCATGAAACGATAGCCGTAAATTGGAATGGGTATTTCAAGAGATATGCCATAAATTTATAAACCCATGTACTTACTTCCCAGAAGTTTAAAACAGCCCCATCATATTTGGGCTAGTTGATATAACTTACATCTCTGTAAGATTAGAAAATCAGCAAAGATGTAACTATAGCATAACTTACATTAGGCTAGTTGATATAAGTTCATCTTTAGTCATTTGGGCTAGTTGATGACTAAACGGTCCCATTCAGACGGGTGGTTTTGCTACACATCGCTTGCGGCATCGTATCGATGTCTTCCCAGGCTTGCCGCTTCTTGTTGCTTCACTAAACTCCAATTTTGCCTCGTAGATGATGCTTGGTTTCCAAGAATTCGTTTACGGAAAACATGGTCTGGACACCATAATATTCGGGTACTTTTTCCTATAAAATATCGTAAACCTACAGTATCCACTGGTTGTTTCTTGCTTTATTTCAATGACCTCCCCCAATTTCTCTCAGGTGCTCCTCAAGTGGTCTACACCTCTTCGCCATATGTGATGCCCGGTGCTGCCTCCGTCAGTGCCATGCCCATGACCAGCTACACCACGATGCCAATGGCCTACAGCACCTCGGAATCTCAAATTAAAGACAAGGAGACAAGACGGCACAGAATGATGTTGATGGATACAGTATAACCCTTAGGCAACTCCAAAAAAGATAGAAACGTAACATCCTGCTAAAATAGTGGTAAAATGATGATCAATTACTTTTCTATTTTTTTGGGGGGTTTACGAAACAAGCCATTTTGGATGCAGGGCTGTGTCAGAATAACCGGCTAACCAGTTTGGGCTATTGCCAGGCAAAATTGGAGGCTCGGCTTGTCGGTTGTGATCCCCGTGGTAGCTCAAACATCCGAAAATGCTGATATATTCTATGATGTGTATATACATATATACATATATACATATATACATATATACATATATACATATATACATATATACATATATACATATATACATATATACATATATACATATATACATATATACATATACAAATACAAATACATATACATATATACAAATACATATACATATATACATATACATATACATATATACATATACATACATATATATATTTATATATATATATATACATATTTATATATATATATATACATACATATATACATATACATATGTAAATGTATGTGTATATATATATACATATTTAGATACACATGGCATATCTACTGACATTTATTCTGACAATTTGCATGACCTATTTGCTGACCCTTTTCCTGAGATATGTTCTGTCAATACGTCTGGCATTTATTCAGACTCGTTTGCTGACATACATTCGGAGAAAAAATACCAGACATATGTTCTGACATCTTTTGACACTAAAGGTCTGACAGTTTCCGTGACCTGTATTCTCACATTTTTTTGACATATATCTGAGAGTATTGCTGATAATTGATAATCCCGTGGACAGCTTGCAGTGGCAGCTGATAGAAACCCTCCAACACCACGACGTAAGTTGCATCGCAAACATGCGTTGGCAATGCGTCTGCGTGACAACCCCAGCATTGCCCGCCTTTTCTCGGACAAGATCGACAAGATGTTCTCCTATGCGTAGCCGTCGTGTGGTGACCTTTTTCGCCGCATCTGTGAGTGTGGGGCCGAGGCATGTGTCAACGTGAATGCCGGTTTTAAGCTTGCGGAGTCTTGTGGCATTGCGGCCAGGAAATCAATGTTAATAATTTCCTGCTGGATTTGTCTAGCAGGCGGTCATTGGGACTGCATTGCAGTGGCATTCCGTGGACGTGTTTCCGTGGACAGCCGTGATTTCCGGCCATGGATGGCGAAAGTCTGCGAGGCGGTCTGAGGCGGAGGTGACCCTGACAGGTGCCGATGGAAAGTTTTCTTAAAATTGATCTATGATGATCTATGATGATCTATGATGATCTATGATGATCTATGTACTTCAGATGTTTTTCAGGAAAGTTGGCAAAATCCACCTGTGAACTGCCAATCCACCGGGCCGAGGCGGTTTGGACCACTCCCAGGGCAAATGGTTCGCCCCGGGCGAGGCGTTGCCGCCCGGATTCATCATCACGGCGCACCCCGAGGGTCACACTGCACCACAGGAGGGCCACATGATGTCCGACAAGGCCAGGTGACATCTATTGAAAAATCTATATGCATAAGAATATGTCTATATATGTAATGTAATGTAATGTAATGTAATGTAATGTAATGTACATATGCATACGTAGATCTCTCTCTCTCTCTCTACACATACTTCTCATAGAAATATGGTAGGAGTGGGCATGCCTGCAGCACCCCTTGGTCAAACCAGGCCCGTGAGAGCTTTGTGATCACCACCGGCACCGGAACCAAAGCTGGCGCTGCACCCATCAAGGTGCCCGGCGATGTCTTTTTACCATGGGAAATGGCCCATAGAAATAGATGGTTTACCTATTAATAGCATGGTGATTTTCCATGGCGAACTGTTAGTCATAACCAGATGGTAAACGATTTTTTTGTGGGAAAACACCAAGGATTTGCTGTAAAGAAACCAACATTTAAGGGACAATCGGCTGGAAACGGAAGATAATAACGGGTTCCTGTGCCAAAAAACGATTAAAGCACATTAATTTATTGAAGGTTAGAAACATCACAAAATGTCAGCAATCTAGGGTTGAAGACAGAGCTGTCTTGCTGGTTTTCACCAATAGTTAATTGTGGGTTGATTCAACCAAAAAGGATTGTGACGATGAAGTTTGGAGGCAACCAACATGGGTATATTTTTGTGGTGTGTGACCAACGAACATAGGGATCTAACCATAGCAGTCTCAATGGCTGGAATGCTTCAATGCTGCGCCAGAGCAAGAAGAGCAAGAAGAAGAAGTCCAGCGGCTGCTGCTGAGAACGCCAAACTGGACTCTTGCGAGATCTTGAGAGGGCGGGTGGATTCCCTCAGTACCAGCCAGACTTTGGATTCATGCTATAGCTGTACAAAAGCAATGACTGGGAGCACGGTGCTCCAGGGTTGTGTCTGGTTGGTGGTCTAGCCCTCAGCGTTCACTCTTGGACCCCTACCGGGGCCGTATCATACGTACCGTGGCAGTGGCACCGTCTCGATCAGGGCACCACAAGGTGTCTGGTACCGGGATGGAATCTCAATCCGCCACCTTTTTGCGAAATGAACAGCGAACGAAACTTCCTGGATCCACTGGCAGAAATTCAACTGTTTCTTTAAGTCCTTCGAACATTTTCCAACTGTCAAATAAATCATCAGAACACAGCTGCGAAGCTCATTGGATCCAACCTCTTGACATCCTGCTGTTGAGCGGAACCGATTTCGGGTTGAAAAAAAACGCGGAGATGAGTTAAGGCAGTTAAGGGTTGAGCATGGAAGCTACATTTTTTTTGTCGCCATTTGGAGGCGACCAACCCCCAGAAACTCGAGCTGCTAAAATGAAGGGGTCGCTTCTGAATCTTCGAGGGCATGGTATTAACGTAACGCATCCCATGTTTGATGATACTTTACGCAGTATTTTGATATCTCCCATTTTCAGCCACTTTTTTAGACAACATGAAGTCGTTGCGGCTATTCTTCTCTCCAGTGGGCTCAAGAAAACTAACTTAAATGCCCCTTTCTGGGCCAGGCATGCCTGGCCGCATCCTGATAGGCTTCAAAGACAGTGTACTTTTATGTAGTTTGAAGATTGCTTATATGGGGTTTCCATAGTCATGGGGATACCCCAATAGCATCCCATAGCTGGATGGTTTATTTCATGGAACATGCTATTAAAAATGGATGATTTGGGGGTACCCCCATATAGTAAACCTCCATATCGACAAGAAGGGTCAAACTGCTAGTCAGCTGCTACTGCATTGGGATACTGTCGTGAATTTAATATGAATTTGCCATGGCTCCTGTGGCTTCCTTTGTCGGCGGCCTGTGGCCCGGGCGACTGTACATCCATGTCCGCCATGTCCATGGTTCAAACCAGGCTTCATTTGGAGCCACACCCCAAACCATGGGAAGTGTATGACTACATCACAGCCAATTACCACAAGGCAGGTGTCATCTTGACAAAGAAAATTCACACTGCAATGTTCAAAATCTTGGGAGCTGGAGAAGATGTCATGGGCCAACTGGAATACCCATGCTACTACGACACTATTCCTGCGTGCTGGAATGAGGAGGCTCCTATCATCTTATTCACCGATGGCTTTAATGCCTCTTGGAAGGCTCATCCTCGGAGTAAACCATTACTGGTGGCAGGCTCTGTTCGGGACCCGCTACAGATGGTGGCATCTGCCTATTGCTATCATCATGAAGGCAAGGAAATGAGGGAATTGATGCCCGTGCTGGAATTACCTTTTCTAGGACCTGAGGAAGGTACGTCACTGACCGCAGAATACATGCTCCCTATCGTTGAGTCGATGGCCAGCATTTTCGTTGAGCCTGACAACAACACACTTCGTTTGAAGTTTGAAGAACTCACGGAGACCTCAGAGGGCTTTGATCGTGGAGTAGGCCTTTGGCTTGATCACTTCTTTCCAAATATGATTTCCACAGAGCAACGTGAAGCCATTCTCGAGGCTGTAAAGCAATTTGACGAAAATCGCAACCCTGCTGACGACTACAATGTGTTCAACTCCTTGAATACGACGAAGCACGGCAGTGATCCAGCCTGCAAAGAGAAAGCGAGTGAAGCCGTATTGAAGATAGAGACATCACTCTTGAAGAGATTTCAGGAATTGCAAATGAGGCTGGGATATCCTGTAAATGACCTAGGTCACGAAAATTGAAGCATGTCTCGACCCGAAAATTGCTGTGCAAAAGTGGTGAAATTTCCAGCTGGAGAATGCTGGAGGCATGTTGACACTTGACACAGCCACGATGTTACAGGATTCATTCATTTGGCATCATTTGGCATCATTTGGCGATATGATGTGTATATAGTATGTATATATATAAATATGTAATGTATGTATGTATGTATGTATGTATGTATGT